CTATCAAGTTGGGAAAGGCAAGAGGTCAGCACAGACTCATCAGAGTCGCAGAACGGTGGGTCGAGGCCTTCTTGGCAAAATCCAACAGTCTTCATTCAAAGGCAATAACCCTCTTGTCATTTCCGGATAAGCCAATTCATGAATCTCTTCTAGCTCAAGTTTAGTTCGAGATGAAAATCCAAATCAAACTGGATAACGCACACAATTTTAGGCTGGATGATGAAATTGACCGGTGAATAACCCTCAATAACTGCCATCAGGCTGATATACATTTCACAGCAACATCTAACAACCTGTGTGAAGTTCGTGTGTTATAACCAACAAGAGAATACAAAGTAAAAGATACTCAGGAAAACTAATATGATTTCCGATTAAACCGTAGATCAGCTGAATATGGAAAGAGAAGTGTAAGCATTGGAGTTGCGTCTTGTGTAATGGGGTAGAGCAATACCCAAAACAGAGTGTATATCAAAAAGGCATGGCAAATCGACCACGGGCGAAAGTCTTATGCACGGAAGACAGAATAATGCGATTTGTTATGATTCTGGAGGAAAGAGAGGGATGGCTTTGGTTCGGGCACATAATCATTTGCACTTCGAAGTCAAACATAAAGGTAGTGTATGCATGCGAAGAAAAGATGTGAATAAATTGGGGGCTGCATGTTGGCGACATGAATGAAAGACATGGAATTTAAGATAGCTAAAGGCGAAAAGAGAAAAGGCTAAAACAGCTGAAAATGAGGAAATTAGAAATTAGCCTACGGTCACAATGACGTCTTTTCTTGCTTGTGTGCACTCGCTTGTGACTTTGTGCATATTTGTGCGTGAGTGTGAATTGAAAGCGAGCAGGAAAACACAGAATAGCAATCGTCCAGAATGACCTTGTGTGGATATTGTAATTCGAGGATGAGAATGCAGATAGACCTTAACTACCATGCATGTATGCATATGCTAGGCGTAGTGCTCATTTGTGCGGCTCGTGGAATTGAAGGCGGCTACTCGGTCGGCGGATATCAGAAGAGTGCTGACAAACAACCGAACCTGACGAGTCCAGTCGAGATAACCTGAAGATGACACGATTGGGAATCTCTTCCAGGAACCGATGACGGGCGGTCTCGGTGGTGGCATGTAATCGGTGAATGTCCGGTATTTATCTATTCACTGGCCTAAGTTTTAGTTTACCGGACAGCTGACAACAGGAGGCATACGAAATGGGGCTGAGTGGCTGCCCATGTTGGAATGTGTCTGAGCCAGTGGGCGAAAAAGACCAACATCCGAGGGTGCAGCTCTGCAAACAAAGAAGGGAATGCGATGTGATAGGACACAAATAGTCTGAGTGATGCAACCGGGCATGGAGTTCCTGTCCCACCCTCGCCCCCCTGGAATATGCACAAGTTGGTGCAAGATTTGGTGTGCTCAGAAGGTCTTGCAAAACCGTAAACAATGCAAATTACCGCTTAAAAAGCATTGCATGCTCCTGTTTTTACAATAATTACCCAGAAGCTTAGTCATGACAACGATGAAGTGGGCTCGAGAGCAAAGCTGGACTGTTCACGACGGCCTAAACTTTAGCGATTTGGACTCGGCTGTCGAGCGGCGGAATTGACAGTCTGCAATGGCCATGCAATTTTAAATAATAGATTAGACAATGCTGTGGCACCGCGGTGTTACTGGAGGCGTAGATGGACATGGAGATAGAAGGCGAAATCTCTCCTATGCGAATGAAGAGAGGCAAGGAGACGGCATGGAGATTACGGGTGCCAGAGGCACTGGCAGTGCTAGTAGAGGCAGAGAACATTCTGTTGACTAGCTGGAGGCTGTCGCATTGGCCCTGGACAATCAGGCCCACGAAGCTGGTGCCTCGGGAAGAGGGGTGAAGTGCTGAAGGCGAGCCGAAAGATGGCGTTTCGGTAGGACAGGTGTAGAAAACCCTGATGACGGACTAGGCAGTTGCGGGGACAAGATTGAGTATAACGTACCGAAGGAGTGCATGGACAGAGCAAGGACAGCCATGAGAGACAGAGACACAAAATGTAGGGAGCAATGCAATTTCAAGGAAAATTGCATATATATATATATTTGAAGAGATAATTGGCTCGATGAACAACCAAAACAGAAATCAGACGGATAGATAGACGGGTGGGCAGATTGCTAGAAGAGATAAGTGAGGCAATAGCATGTGATAGAGAGGATGAGTGTGAAAGGAAGATGAAACCGGAGAAGATGCAAAGTAGATCACTCCAAGTCAGTTGCCACGCTTGATGAATCAGTTGCCTCGTTGACCAAGGATGATGCGTCATCTGAAATAGAGATAGAGTGAGCGTACAAAAATGACCAAGTGAAAAAGATATGCTAATAGGTATCCTAGACAGAGTTGGTATAAATAGAATCTATAGTTGTCTATTTAGGGCGTAAACCGAACGAAGGGTACAAAAGCGACTCGACTTCAAACCTTCTTTTGACTAACTGATTTGGGAACCCAGCTGACTAAACCCGAAAGCAGGCGAGAAATTCAACGGGTTAGGCAGACTACCCTTTTATTGCAAGAGATAAAGCTGCGGGCTCAGGAACTCGTCGTCACCCAAAGATAGGCCAAGACGATTATTATCTAATGTTAAGATGATATTGTACAAAATGACCAAAAAGAGGGGGTGGTGGCGATAATGAGGTATTCTCATTCGGTTACTCTGAGAAGATCTGTGGTCTGAATGGGTGTAAAAACGATGCTGGCCCGGCGTAGGACGGAACTAAGTATTGCGGTAGAATCGAGCCATGCCTTAGTTGCAGAGTCGAGGGAAAATGAGGAATAAATGCCTTTAGAAGTTATAGTCAAGGAGAGCGATTTTCGAGACTGTCCATAATTCTTGAACAAGAATCGATTTGATCAAGTTCACTAAAAACGATAAGTGATTATAGAGTAGGCATGAGTCTAGAATAAAAGTTCTAGTCACCCAAGGCTGAAGAAGGTGATAAAGAACTAACGATTGAATTTTCCCACAATCATATTAGTAAGCCGCATAGGAAACGTTAGACATACTCATATTATCGTTGGAAAATTCAACTAATAGGGTAACTAGAAATCTAATACAAGTATATTTCATAAAAAATGTTGATGCAGCTGGCTCAAGTAAACTGTAGGACTCACCTCAACATCCTCATGTGTGTGCTAGTATGTTTATGGTTTTGTGCATTTTTCATATACCATTGAAATAAGCAAGCGGTGTTAAGCATAATTAAATAAATGGAATACAGATAAATTAAATT